TAAAAGCTTCTCTAGACAATAAGTCAATCCTTTTTTTTCCTTGTTGACGACCATTAGTTTAGAATGTACATGAATCTATTTAAGATGATTTAATTTTATCATTTTCGTATTGATTAGTTTTCGTCTTGTTGTCAGAAAAAAGAATTAGTAAAAGCGTCAAACTTTGTATTGTTATGAATAAGTTTCATGAAATGCCCATATAAAAAGAAGTCATCTATGGAAATCATTCGATATAATAGTCTCTACTATCGAAAAATGACTAACTGAGTTATATTTACTGTTAAGTTTATAAGTGTTTTGTTGCATTTCATTTCATAATAAAGTTGTTGTCTTAACTATTGGTGAAACTATAAAAGATTTCGTATTAAAGATGTATTGATTTCATTGTTAGATCAAATCATCTAATATAAATGAAGTTAACATTGTTGATTTCTGTATTGAATATTAAATGAAAACTGAATTATTCTTTCACTAAATTTTTTTCGAAAAAAAACTATTGATAAAACCGTTCCATATGGAACGAACACGTGTAATAAGATAGAATACTTCTACTAGATTGAAGAGATCATGATATATAGACTTCAATAGAATAAATACTAAACATTTAATTTTGGAAAAGATTAAAATCATCATCGAAATTACTGTAGAAGTTCTTTTGTAAATTGATGAAAATAGTATGGATTTATAAAAGATATGACAAGAAAATATTTTTTTTTATAATATTCTGTTTTGTATGATTTCTCGCATATTTTTCGTTAGTTCATATAAATATCTTTGCTTCTCTTGTTTTAAACAATATGTTTGATTAATTCGTATCTTTCTATTTAATTCCTAAATATGATTATTATTTTCTGACATCATTTTTAATTAATCAGTGTTTTAGATGATAGATTATTCATTGTATATGAATGTATAAACATTTAATAAAATGTTTATTTTAAAATTTACTTAACAAAACGCGATTCTTTTTCCAATAAAAAAAGCTCTATGTTAAATTGTGAGAAAAAGCCAGTGTTTAATTGATCTGTCTCTTGTATTAAGAATACATAAGGTTAATAAAATTTAAAAACTGTTCACATTTTTTGTTTGCCTTTTTCTCTTCTGAAACGATCGATCAATCGTTTTTAATATATAAGTCATTCATCTTATATTGATTCAGGTCTAAAACAAATTCATACAGATGAAATAGATGGCGAAGACATAACGGATTAAATGTCTTTTGAATGAAACAGAGTAAAAATGGCAAAAAATAATGAATAGTTTTATTTAATGATACTTAAATACCGATTTACTCATACATTTTTTTTGATTTAAAGTGAATAGTTATATATATAATCATAAATGAATAAAAAAAGAAAAATGTTTCAAGAATGAGTTAAAAGATAACACAACATGTTAATTTTCGTTTATGAATTTTTTTTCAATGATGAATTTTTTTATTTGAATTTGATTGATCACGATCAGATCTTTGAGGTAATTGTGGTAGTGGAGGTTCATCATAACATTTTGATATAACGGGAAGAGGACGAAGCGATGAAGGCGCGTCATATCCTTGAACACGTGGTGAAGGATTGAGTGGAGCGTGACCTTTATTTGATCGTCGAATACGTGGTGATGGCCGTGGACGGAGCACTACCAGTTCGAACTTCAATTAAACGAAATGGTAAACGTTGAGCTTCAACAAAACAACGATCGTTTCCCATTTATTTTATATTAAATAATTATTCTTTATGTTAAATAGTAACATGTATGAATTGATTATGGTGTGGGTGTGGGGTGGGTATTGGTGTGGGGTGCGTGTGTGGGTGTATGGGTGGGTGTGGGTGTGAGTGTGTGGGTAGTTGTGGGTGTCGGTGTGGCTTTTGGTTTCTCATCATCCACACCCCACGGATACCCACACCCTAACTCACATTAAAGTAGCCACCACAATCAATATCCTTGCCGTACGTTTAAGATTTTTGTAAACGAAAGTAATTCAGCGACTCGTATATTTTGTATGTTCTGTCAATAATTGGTATTTTTTGTGAAAGATTGAATGACTTCAATGGTTTCAATACCTGATCAAAAGCGACACAAATGGTGGCATCCAAAGGTGAATTCTTCTTAATTGCGAGCAGGGACAATTCGTAGTGATCCCCACTCAAACTGTTCTCGGGTGACAGAAAAGCTGAGACGTTGCAAAGCACGTATGTTTCGTAGCTCTTTTCGATCGCAAATGTTTGTGCAAATGTTTTCTCACCGTTGGCGACACAAGCGTTTTCGATCGAGAAGAACTACGAAACATACACGCTTTGCAACGTCTCAGCTTTTCTGTCACCCGAGAACAGTTTGAGTGGGGATCACTACGATTTGTCCCGGCTCGCAATTATCAAGAATTCACCTTTGGATGCCACAATTTGTGTCGCTTTTGATCAGGTATTAAAACTATTGAAGTTATTCAATCTTTCACGAAAAATACCAATTATTGACAGAACATATAAAATATACGAGTGGCTGAATTACTTTCGTTTACAAAAATCTCCAACGTATGGCAAGGATGTTGACTGTGCTGACTACTTTAATGTGAGTTACACATATTTTACTCTTATAGACTTTACAAAAAACTATTTATATGCTTGTATAGATGGATTACCAGCGAGGCTGTGGGTGTGGCTATTGGTTTCTCATCATCCACACCCCACACCGAGATCCAACTTGTAAGCTGGCATCTTCTGTGAACATAGTTGTTTATTTTGGTCTGTTCAAAAAGTATTTCAGTATAGGTCGTAACCAGAATTTGAATAGTGATTCAAGAGTAGTGAGAGACTTTTTGAAAAACCTAAAAAATAATTCATGTTGGTGAGCCAACGGGTTTGTGTTGACGCTAAAAGTATGTTTTCAAGCATGCTAACAATTCTTCGAGTCCGTTGTTTTGCAGAGCGAATACTTCTCTATAAAGTATGATATTGAACTAAGCTGTAGCTGTTACTCAAACAGAAAATCAAGGTACCTTGTGAAAAAACAAAACTTTATATAATGGATGATGTAGAGTAGCTTTTCATTGCCAAGCTGATGCACGAATAGAGATCCCAACTTCCAGCTTCGAATCGCAATAATGAAAATATAAAAATATTCTATTCAAACTAATTTTTTAAAGTTTTTCAAAGATTATTTCATTATTCTCCAAAACAGAATATGACAAATTTCTCAGTTCCTATTCGAAAAGAACATGTAATGATACGTTTTCATTCATCGAAAGTATTTACTAGCGGTATGATTTATAAATAAAATAGTTTCTCTTTGAAATCTATAAAAAAATAACTTCAAATTGCTAGTAGTAGAAATAATTTATCTGTAGTAGAAAAATAATCTGCGTTGATACCTAAAATACGCCAAAGAATAAATTAAACGAGAAAAAGACTAATCGAAACTAACTAAAAAGTGAATTATTTTGATTTAATGAACTCCATTCAATAATATTGTAAAGTTGGAATAATTAAACCTCGAGAAATTTTCTATTCAATATTTACATTTCATAAATAATCATCGAGACACATAGAAAAGAGAGATATTTTTGTTGATCATAGAAGAACGAAGAATCTTGAACATGAACGAGTAAATAACCGATGTTTTTTTTTATGCAGAGTTTCGACGTTTATTGAGATATACCAAAAATTGATATGAAACAATACATCAAAAAATGTTTAATGAGGATTTCGGCGAAAGAGTTGTTTTGCTTTCCTTGTTACGTAATTAAAGAGAAAAAAACGAATTTTTGACTATTTTTACATGATGTGTGAGTTGAATTTGGATTTCTAATAATTAAAAAACTTCAATATTTGGAAAATCATGCAGACCATAATCCTGTTAATTTTTATTGATAAGTGGCGTATGTTAATATCGTTGCTGGAATATAAAGTACAATTATAAATTGCCCATTTAATAATTATCGAAAATGATTAATTACTATGGAATTGAATATTTCAATTAATATAAATACGTATCTTCAGTTCGTCTATATTCAATTGGAAATGATTATGATGATAATTCAGATACCGATGCAGTTTTTGCTGAGAAATAACTTAAAAGATATTTTTTCAATTATTCTTTTATCAATATCGCAATAATTTCTTGCCAAAAAAAGTGATGAATACTAATATTGAAAGGATCAGTAAGAAATATATATTTCTATAGTTATCTAAACGAATGGAATTTGAACTATTCGATTGATCAGATGTTGAACCACGTGCATCTGGATATCTTGTTTTATCATCTCATTTTCATTTACATAATTTCTTTACTTTCTGATGAAAGCGCAATCTTCTCTATCCCAATTCAAATATCATAATAATGTTAGGATATTAAAAAAAATAGAGACTGAGAAAGCTAAACCGACTAGACACCTACAAGTAATTGACTTGTTTGAAGCTCTAGCTTGTATTCATTTATTAACTTGTTCATCAAAGAGAAGTTGAAGAAGTAAGTTTTGTTTTACATCTAAGTGAATTTTATCAATAGAGACTTCCTATAGAAAAAAACTGTTCAGAGAGTTATTATGTGCTATATGTCAGTAGACAAATTGGCTCTATTATAGAACTCGTATACATATCATAATGATATCCACATTTTCTATTTTTCATGAAAATACCATTCTTTCATGCTTTCAACAAGTATCCTTTGACAGGTATCTATCATTACATATTAAGTTTTTCCCACTGTAGTTATGACACTTCCATCTTCATCAGTGTTTAAAATAATTATTTGATAATGTGATGAATCATTTTCGAATTACTTCAGTCATGAGTTCTTCTCTAACTTTCACTAATAATGTATCAGAATCTTATATGAATTGATGTCATCTTTATAAAACATCAAATCAAAAAATGATAATTTACATCGATGTAAGTCGGATCACACGAATGTGTAGATTCTCAGATTTATTTAATTATAAAATTACAATCCGAAATTTTTATTTAGTGAAATTTGATTCGTTTGTGATTACAACATATTTCAGTTAATTGATATCTTTTTTTCCCAAGTTAAACAGTAACCATTCTGTAACTTTCTCGACATGTTGTGTTAATGGTATTTTCAGCAAACCAGTTGATGATTTGTTCAGAAAAGTCCTTATGTTCGATGTCAAAATCAATTATTGACAAGTTTTTACATCGTTTCAAAATCATATTTATTTGGTTCAAATCATCTATTGGTATTTGCACATGTTTGACATGATACGGAAGAATTGAGTGAATATGTTCAACAGTTAGATCTGATTTGTGTTTGTAGAAGCTGCTATGAATAGATAATGAAAAGAGATTGTGTACTTGTTCCAGGAAAATTCTGATGTCCATCAATAAATTTTGTTTGAATTCGCTTAAATAATTGCTAGATATTTTTATATGAACTATTCGTGAAATATCGATCAAAACGAAAAGTGATTGTAGCGAAACCAAAGGCCAGTCGTGGCAGAATACTTCCTATTCCCAAAAGTTACACATTCCTGCATCGCCTTCTGACCCAGAATCCCTTACCATCAATTCCGGAAAACCTAAAACGACCCTTTCCCCCAAATACATGCCACAACCAGGAATTCCTGATTCGTAGTTCCTTTCAAATCGAACTCTCAACATCCAATTCCTGGTCATTCCGGGTAATTCCAGAATTCGAAGGATATACTGAATAACGAAATGATCATCTTAAAAGATCTATTCGATATCAAAGCGGTATTCCGGAATTTC